GGTTTGTTGACCATAATTCATGAACCCGGTTATCATAGGAAGCATATTGTAATTATCTATGAATAATTTGATCTTTGTTTCTTTCTCTTGTTTAAAACAAGTAATGAATATCTTGGATTTATTTTCAATTTAGAGTGAAAAGAGTTGGAAAGAAGTTGTTAATAATAGATTACCAAGGGAAATCGGTAAAAGAAATTTCGCGGTTTGTTTTTGGATGAGTTTAATTAGGCTCTTTGTCGCTTAAACTTTTATAAGAAAAATTATGTTTTAAAATATATATACACATAAAGTATGTGAACTAAATTCAGTATTAAACTGAAACAAAAACTAAAAAAAGTCACAAAAAATATATAAGAATAAAACAAATGAAAGTTAACTAAAGTAAAAAAAAATTAACATCATTAGTATGTTTTTAATAAAAGTTAACTATTAAAAAAATGTAAGAAAAATATACAGGAGACAGTGACATATTAAAAATATGATAAAAATCTCATAGATATCACAATCCCATAGAAAATGTGATAAAAGTTTAAATATAATTCATAAGTAATATAAAATAAGAAGAACAATTATGAATAAAAAAAATCCCATAGAAACCTGCAAAAAATTGTCATTTTTTAGCAATTGTACAATATAAAATAATTTAATAGATTTCTAAATTTTATCGAGACGAAAATAATATTGAATTTGCATATCGCTATTGAAACAAACTGAAAATGGTTTGTAATCAACTACAAACGGTCTTTCATCTGTGTTATTTATCTGTTAATAGAAAAAACAAACAAATGTATATATATAGTAAATTACATTTTTAAGATCCATATATATATATATATACAAATATAATTAAGATAATAGTTTTGGCTTTTCTAAATCTCAAATCACCATTATATTTGTGGTTTTCTAAATGGATAACAGTTTTGGGATTTTCTAACTCAAATCACCATTATCATATAAATTTATGCAAGTAATTGATAGCAAAATAAGGTAATCATCATATTTCGAATTAACTAATTAGGAAATAAAGAACATACACATTTAATGCAATATCACATGTATATAGTTACTAATAAATGACATCATAAAAGAACAAGAAATTTACTTAATAGACATATATTTTCACAAAAATTTAACTTTTAAATTTGTCAATTAAATGTCTATTTAAAAAATACTTCCTAAAAAGATTATTTCGTTTAGAATTATATATAATAAAAAATATATTATATATGTTAACGCGAATATCATATACATAAAAAGTCTGAATTATATACATAATTTTTGAATATAAGTGAGATAGACTCTGAAATCATTTATTAATACTATGTGAAAGTGTTTTGAAGATTTAAAAAAATCTGGTGAAATTTTGCAACTAAAGAGAGATAGAAAGAGTTTTAAAGTGAAATATCGAGGATCATATTAAGGACGAAGGTAAGAGAATGAATATAGGTGATTGTGAGAGAGTGAATGTAAGTTTGAGAGATTTTGAGATTATTTGATCAACTAAGAGAGAGAGAAAGAAAAAGAGAGCGAGGGAGGTGTACAAAAACATACAAAAATAATGCAAAGAGAGATACATAAGAAACAAAACGAATGTGTGAACAAATATAAGGAGAAACGAAATGAGTTAGATAGAAAAATATATTAAAAACAGAGTATCTATGTAAAAGAGAAGAAGTTACAATATATTTATACATTTGTATTATATTTTATTCATGCAATGTATAGATTATATTAATGTCCGCACAGGCGTGCGGGCCGTCCACATAGTTATATATATATATATATATATATATATATATATTAATTTTTAGTCTAGTTAACTATGCGGGCCGTCCACATAGTTATATATAGCGTATAGATTCTGAATTATATACATAATTTATTATGTGATAAATTGTATAAAGTTATATTATAATTGACATAGAACTATATAGTTTATGATGACAAAAAAAAGACGACAAAAAAAGAAATATATAGTTTACATATATGAATTTATAGGATATACATTTTATAATATGATAAATTGTATAAAATCATATTTGAGTACAAAGTTGATAAAATGTATAAAAATTTATACTAACTTTTATAATAAAATATTGATTAAAGATTTTTTTTTCTTTAGTGTATAAGCAAATAATTATTTGAAAAACATAGAGAAAGTAACAAAGCATGAAACTTACATTGTAGTTTACGTGTTTTGGATGATATGATTATTTATAATGTTAATGTTCATTGTTAGAGATTTAAGTACATATGGATCCACAAGAGGAAACGTCATAATCGTTGGTCTGCGCATATAAACTAAAATCCCCTCTACATTAAAAGAGAAGTCACTTTAAGGAATTTTGCTTACGTCTCATTCATAGGTGCAATGTAGAATTAATTCTCTTAATTTGATTGGTTGTTGGCATTTGAATTTTTATTTATTTAATTAAAGTTTTTTAAAAGGAAACTAATCCTAGAATTACCTAATCTAATATATATTACCAAAATAACAATTAACGATCTTAAATACATAGGATTAATAGAATTTGTTTATAGAAACAATTAAATATCACATATTCCACTATAAAAATTTAGAATCCCTCTATACATTAAAAGAGAAGTCACATTAGTGATTTCTCGACACGTGACACTCATAGAGGGCTTTTGGATTAATTCTCTTAATCTTATTGGTTAATTTTTTTAAAAAAAAAAATTCTATTTTTTTTAATTTTCAGCGCGAAGAGTAATTTGATAACAAAACTATCGACGTTTCCAAACACTCCAAATTTGTTAATTCCTTTTAATGACTTACCTTATTTTAATAATACATACGTTGCACAAGTTGTAACTTTCTTTAATCTATTTTATTTAATTTTTAAATCTATCAAATATAATAATTCATATTAAGTGTCTTACCTTATTTAAAAACTACATTACTTGCACGATAATGAAATTAAGCCAAGAATATTAATTGGTCGATCACTAATAAAAAATTGGTGGATCACTAATAATTTACTAACCTTATTAATAATTAATACATGTATGAATAATTTTCCTTATTAAATATTACTTGCGCAAGAATATAAATTAATAAAACATGTATTAATAAATTTCCTTATTACAAATACAGAAAACAATTCACTCTTGATATCATATTGATTACATTCTTTAGTGCGATTTATCGATTTGTATCTAATTAGGTTGTTTGTTATTATTAACTTACCTTATTAATATTGAATATACAATTTCTAATATATAGTTTCTATATACAATTTCTCATATGATTAATCGTATAGAATATATAATATTCTCAATAATTTATTAGAGAATATTCTATTTATTAGCTTATCACGCAAGCTAAATCATTGAGAAACATCCATCAATTTACTATATATAAGACATTCACATTATGAGAATCGAAGCCACTGAACTTTTTATTCTGAACTTTTTATGTTGATACTGTTTTTGTTATTTTACATTATTAAGCTTTTACATATACATATTTCATCAGAGCTGACTTTCTTTGGGTGAAATCGTTATAATAGGGCATCTGCATATAAACCAAAAGAAAGTCAGCTCTGATGAAATATGTATATGTAAAAGCTTAATGATGTAAAATAACAAAAACAGTATCAACATAAAAAGTTCAGAATAAAAAGTTCAGTGGCTTCGATTCTTTTACTGTGAATGTCTTATATATAGTAAATTGATGGATGTTTCTCAATGATTTAGCTTGCGTGATAAGCTAATAAATAGAATATTCTCTAATAAATTATTGAGAATATTATATATTCTATACGATTAATCATATGAGAAACTGTATATAGAAACTATATATTCTAAAATTGTATATTCAATATCAATAAGGTAAGTTAATAATAACAAACAACCTAATTAGATACAAATCGATAAATCGCACTAAAGAATGTAATCAATATGATATCAAGAGTGAATTGTTTTCCGTATTTGTAATAAGGAAATTTATTAATACATGTTTTATTAATTAATATTCTTGCGCAAGTAATATCTAATAAGGAAAATTATTAATACATGTATTAATTATTAGTAAGGTTAGTAAATTATTAGTGATCCACCAATTTTTTATTAGTGATCGACCAATTAATATTCTTGGCTTAATTTCATTATTGTGGAAGTAATGTAGTTTTTAAATAAGGTAAGACATTTAGTATGAATTATTATATTTGATAGATTTGAAAATTAAATGAAATAGATTAAAGAAAGTTACAACTTGTGCAACGTATGTATTATTAAAATAAGGTAAGTCATTACAAGGAATTAACAAATTTGGAGTGTTTGGAAACGTCGATAGTTTTGTTATCAAATTACTCTTCGCGCTGAATTAAAAAAAAAAATAGAAAAAAAATTTAAAAAAAATTAACCAATAAGATTAAGAGAATTAATCCTAAAAGCCTTCTATGAGTGTCACGTGTCGATAAATCACTAATGTGACTTCTCTTTTAATGTATAGGGGGATTCTAAATTTTTATAGTGGAATATGTGATATTTAATTGTTTCTATAAACAAATTCTATTAATCCTATGTATTTAATATCGTTAATTGTTATTTTGGTAATATATATTAGATTAGGTAATTCTAGGATTAGTTTCCTTTTAAAAAACTTTAATTAAATAAATAAAAATTCAAATGCCAACAACCAATCAAATTAAGAGAATTAATTCTACATTGCACATATGAATGACACGTAAACAAAATTCCTTAAAGTAACTTCTCTTTTAATGTATAGGGGATATCCAATTAACATTTGACAATGGAGATACTGTTTTTTTTTTTTTTATATACAATTTAATAAACATTGTATATCTTATTTATACATATAGATCATAGATGTATTAATAAGTGGCTTAATCAGACAAAAAATATAATTACTAATTAGTGAAGTGGATGATTTCATGCAGTTTTACAAAAAAAGAAGTGGATGATTTCTTCAAGGGGCTATAAATAGCCGGCGTCGCCGCCGGAGATCATCTAACAAATTCCGATTCTCGCTTTTTCCGGCGCCGGCGTTACAACGTCTGTAAGAAGCCAGCATCGTTTTCGTGGAAGCCTCTAGTTCTTTCTTCTCATCCATCAAAATCTGACTTTCTCTACACTCTCTGCTACAAAATCCCAAGTCTCCTCTGTTTTTACCAGACAAATAGAAAAAAAAAAACTTTAGATTACAAATGGGTTTGCATAATCTGATCAACCATGATAAAGGCTAGAGAGATTGGTACCTGTACATGTAAACATCTTTGTCTTGATGGAGCTGTTTCAAACAGAGATAACATGTTTTGAGGAAGCAAAGCTCCGAGATGTTTGGAGTGGACCAGTTTGGTTTCAGTGAAGATTTGATAACTATGTTTTTTAGTTTTTCTTTTGAATCTGTAGTCACGAGTTGTAATCCAACAGAGACTTTTGTCATTCTCTCTATCTCTATTTACAGAAATTAAGGAGAAGGAAGAGAGCGATATGAAGTGTGAGATGAAGTAGAAAATATATAAAAGAGGAAGTCACTTTACAGACTGTACTGTTTATAGAGTGTGATGTGTCTTTTTATGTCTCTCTTAAAACGTGGTATCTAATTCTTTTTCCGACGAGGACCTTTTTCCTATCGGAAATTACTATTTTTAGTGTTTGCTATCTATGTTCTTATAAAAATATATATAGCAAATAACCTTTCCTCAAATCCAATAGCTGAAAATAAACTGAATACAATATTTTGTGTTTTATTCAAAACTCCAAATTAATTCACAAATGTTTTTGTTTTGATTTAGCAAGACTACTAAAACCCAAAATATTGATTAATATAGTAATTCAGAAACCGTGTTTTTATGAATAAAATTAATTACCATATTTAATTCTGTCACGTTTCTCATGCATTCTTTCTCAAAACAATCATGTGTAACATTAGCCATCTACCACTTCACTACAACAATAGTTGGTAAACATCCACCGTGTATCACTTATGTTCAACATTTTTAATAAGTTTATAAGAACCTAACTAATTCTATAAAATAAAATAAAAAGAATACACTTTTGTACCACTGGAAAGAAAAAGAAAAAGAAAAGAATTATAGCAACAACATTGAAGAAGTAGCAATATAATAAACAAAATTCATCCATAAGTACGTATAAGCTAAGTTACTGATACTATTCATGAATTTATTGGCTAAAGTTTTACAAAGTCTGAAATGTCTTCAAATGCACCATTAAGAGATAAATGTTGAGTAAAGATTACAAGTAACAATCTCTCTCCCTCACCAAAACGTTCTGCATAAGCAGTAAGACAAGCTTGTGTCTATGTACAGTCAAAGAATGGGCTTTCTACCTTTTTATACAAAGAAATGAAAGTTCGCAGCCAAGGAGTAAATGAAGAAGACACTCCTTACAAGTAAAGCTGAATCAGCTCATCACTAACTACAGATGGAGTGAGAACACCAAGATCAGTGAATAGCATAGTCAAGTACTGAGGAGGAGTGTAGTCTCTCGCAGATCTCTCTACCTCGATCTTAGGAGGAACATGAACACCAAAATCAATAGGTCGCAAGGCCGGTGCCAAGTCCTTTTGATCCAACGGGTAGAGACGTGCAAACTGCACCAAAAACAACATAAATTAGATGATGAATCAAAGTGTTCTGCAACCACTTTGAAAAATTGTTTAAAAGCTTTTGAGTGATTTACCTTGTAACTCTCTGCAGCTACATAGACTGGTTTGTTCATACTATGTGCTAAAAGAGCGATTTGGTAAGTACCCATCATGTTAATCACACCGCCACTTTCAACTACTCCGTCTGCTCCAACAATCACCATGTCTACTTCATCCATGCTATAGGCCACAGCTGAATCAATCAGAAGCTTCACTGGAACATCTAGCTTTGCAAGCTCTTTAGCTAGCAGCACACCAGTTTTGTCTGGCCTTCCCTCTGAGATCAATTTTTGGTTAGGAAAAACTGGAAAGAGATGATGATCACAAATCAATCTCAAAGATTTTTTAAGGAAAGGCACCTGTACACAGAACTCGAAAGAGTTTCTTGTTTTGAGTTGCTGTCTTTAGTATTTCGAGTACAACTCTGGAGAAGCCATGAACCAGTATAGTACACCCATCAAAGATGAAATCTTGACTAAGCACTGCAATGATCTTTCGAGCCTGGAGAAGAAACAAAAAATGCAGTTCCCGTTAAAACTCTCCTTCTGTTTTTCACTAATACATCTATCTTTTCTATAGAAAAACTACTGACCTTGTAAGATATTTCTCCGAACTTCTCAGCACGTCCAAGCACGCGGGACTTTGCTGTATTGAAATCCTCAGACTCTAACGCAGATGTTCGAGTCACGTAGCGCATGAATAGATCACATCCTGCTCTTAAGGATATAGAAGTTGTGTCCCATGACTGCAAAATTAAGATAAATCATACACTTTTAGAGTCCTATAGACCTTTCTACAATGAAAAAAATACTATAAAGTTACAAGATGAGCAAGACTCAGATATCAAAACTAAAACCAGAAACTCGCAGTAGACAATGCCAAGTAGAAGAATTCACATTACCATTTAGGCCACAAGCTAAAATCTAAGCTATCTTCAGGGCATTGAAGCTAAACACTCCAAGCTAAGTTTCAAAACACTTTATAACAGATTACTTAAAGATTAAATCATACATTTTTGGAGTTAAACGAAGTAACGAACCTCCTACCATGAAAAGGCCTCGCAGAAGAAGTCAATTACAACAAGAAACTCGCAGAACGCAATGCCAAGAAGAACAACTCACAACTCTACAAAAACTCATAAAGCTTCAGTGCAATGCCACGACCACAGCTAACCATTTACGCCACAAGCTAAAAACCTAAGTTACCGCCAGGGCATGAAGCAAAACACTCAAATCAAAGTTGCAAACATTTCATGACTTCAACGAGCCTTCAATGAGCAGGACTCAAATATAAAAGCTACAATCAGAAACTCGCAGAAGCAATGCCAAGAAGAATGCACAACTCTACAAGTTATATCATACAGCCTCAGTGCAATGACAATTACCATTTACGTCACAAGCTAAAACCTAAGCTAAGTTGGAAACCTAGCAGTAGAATCGTTAAAGATAAAAGCTTTCTTGAGAAAGACACATACTTTCAAGGTACCAGAAGCTTTCTTGAGTTCGATTTCGAGTTCCATCAAACAGTGCAATGCCACAATCACATCTACCATTTACATGGCACGAAGCAACAAACTCAAAAGCTAAGTTGAAAACCTAGTGACAGAATCATTAAAGATCAATCTTTCTTGATAAAGACTCTAAACCTAAGTTGAAAACCTAGCAACAGAATCATTAAAGATGAAAGCTTTCTTGATAAAAACTCAAAAGCTAAGTTGAAAACCTAGCAACAGAATCATTAAAGATCAAAGCTTTCTTGATAAAGACTCCAAAGCTAAGTTGAAAACTTAGTAACAGAATCATTAAAGATCAAAGCTTTCTTGATAAAAACTCAAAAGCTAAGTTGAAAACCTAGTAACAGAATCGTTAAAGATCAGAGCTTTCTTGCTAAAAAAACTCAGAGCATGAAGCAAAACACACAAAGCTAGGTTAAAGATCAAAGCTTTCTTGAGAAAGACGCATACTTTCAATGTAGCAGAAGCTTTCTTGAGTTCAATCTCGAGCTCCATCATGGTCCTCGCTTCGCTAGCCCTAATAACCGCCGCGAGAGCACGAATCGCCGCAACAGCCTCCGCCAAATCCGCCTGCTGTCTCCATTTGTTGAACTCCTCAATGACGCTAAAAGAAGGTCCTCTTCCCGCGATGACGGGGTAGCGAAGAAGAGCGGCGGCTTGTGCCTGTTCTATCCAATCGGAGGCCACGATCCCATTGTGATTAGGGTTAGGGTTAGGGTTTACCTCCGTCATGGTTGAAGCAGAGAGTGGAGGAGGAGAGTTGTTGTGATGGTTGTCGAGGATCTTCTCCACGTGTTGTGAGGAATCAAATTTCAAAGGTAGAGACTTTGTTGGCGGTTGATGCTTCTCTGCTAGTGACAGTTTTAACTCTTCCTTAAACGTAATTAATTTCTAACTGTTTGTCCTCCTGGCTCCCTGAATATTTGTATATTTTCGTTTCCTGCTCTACATTTACAAAAGTAATCAAATTCACCCAAAATAATCTCAATTTATATTTGTATATAACGAGTAGTTTCACTACCATTGTTACCTCTTCTCCAAATTTTAAGCTATTAAAGTTTAATTGTTTTTTTTTTCTAATTCAGTTTGTATATAACGAGTAGTTTCACTACCACAGTTTAATTCTTGCTACCTAACTCAATCGGGGTTTTTGGATTTCATTTTTTGAGTTTTTGGATTTTTTTTTTGGATATTCATTCAAATTTGAGTTAGATGTAGATGATACTTGAAATCTGAGATAGGAGTATGACATTCAACTGTTTTTACGGTTCACTGAATATGGATTCGAAATTTTTAACATTAAGTGTCTTGGATATAGGTTCAGTTACAAATGTCTATGCCAAGTTTTGGAATGTAATTGGCTCCCTAAATTTTGTAGTATTTTTATTCGTCGCTCAAGATTTAACAACTTTACTCAATCTCAATTTATATTTCAACACCACAGTTATCAATACATCTTCTCCAAAACTAAAACTACTAATGTTTCTTTTGGTCAAATTGTTTTTTTTTTTACTAATTTGCTCTACTGTCAAGTACCACAAATCTTGAGATCGGGTCTTTTGGATTTCATTTTTCGAGTTTTTGGATTTTTTTGATATTCATCAAATTTTGAGTTAGGTATATTTTGATGATCATGATACTTGAAACTTCATATTTGAAGTGTGCTCATATATTTAAGTACTTTTACTGTTCATATTGAATATGGATTCAAAATTTATAAGCTTAAGTTTATTGGATATATCAGGTTCAGTTACAGATGTCTATGCCTAGTTTTGGAATGTTTTTGGCTCCCTAAACATTTGTGTGTTTTCATTCACTGCATTAAATTTACAAAATGAATGTTTCTCACCCAAAAAGAAAAAAAAAATCATAATTTACATTTTAGAAGACCGTAAGCTATTACAATACCCATAATGAAAGAATGATCTACCTCTGGCTCAACCATCATTGTCAAAACATCTTCTCCAAAATCTAAACCATTAACGTTTGATTGTTTCTTTTTAACTTCTGCCATCAATCTTCCTGACCCATCTTCAATAGTGAAAACCGATTTGTTGTTTACAATCTTATAACAAGATTGTTGATCATCTTTACCGGATCCCATTGAAACTTTGTAAGAAGACGACGAACCGTTTGGCCAAATCTTGAAGTTCTTTCTTACTCGAAATATTGTTCCTGTTGAGTTATGTCCTTCCCAATATTTGTATAATCCCGAGTTCTGTATAGACATGACAATAAGATGTACGTAAGTCTCAAAGGTTTGTTATTTTTATAATAATGATGGATGGAATGTTTATTACCTTTTGACGCAACGTAAACAAGGCTTCTCCGTATAAGGCCATAAGAGAAACTTCACTGCAACTCTTGGAATCATAATTATCCACTCGATAGATTAAGTTTCCTTTGGAATTAAAAACTGTGCAGCCTTTGCTATGGCACACTAGAGATCTCATCCAAATCGTGAAACTCTCTTGCTCTGTCGTCAAGTACGGTGAACTCTTGTCTTCTCCGGCACCGGAAGCCATAGGTAATGCTAGGACAGGATGTATCTGCGTCATGTTCTTCTCCGGACAAACCCAAATACGGTCGTTGCTAAATATTTGCATATACCGAACTTTTTTATATTTGGCACTGATCGATAGTATAGGTCCTCCTCGTATATATATATAACTTCTATTTTTTTGTTATAATTGTATGGTTATGATAAGAAGGTCTTACATCCACATGTCCAATGTGGAATACGACCAATACAATGAAATATATATATATTTAAAAGACGCTAATTGTTTTAAATTATAAATACACGTATATATATACATGTGGAAAGGTCGTTCTCACGTGGATAATGTGAGATTCGAATACTAGTCTCTTAAGATAAATGCATATACAATAGTACAATAATTTCAATTATTAGTTTATTTGTTTTATTTATGTTTTACAATTATTGGTTGACAGGCTTAGAAGTTAGAACTTGTCTTTGGTTTTGGGCTCATTGAATTTGCATTCTCCTCGCTGGTGAATACTGACAGATTCTTGGTATGATACTGCACACAGACAGTTATGACTAGCAGATTAACTGATGTTTATTATTACTCTCCACGATAAGATTCAGTCTACATTGTGGAGAAAATTTTTCCATTGCAAAATAAATGTCATTTTATAGTTTTAATGCATAATTTATTAATTTTATATATTTTTTATTTTTAATTGGTTGAAATGTGGTTAGTTGTATAGGTAATTATGTTTTTATTTTGAAAATATGTAAAACTAAATGTTTTATTAATTTTTTGTGTAAAAATCTAAAACAACTAAAATGAAACGGATCGAGTAATATTTTCGAAAATCAATTATTCTTTCTCCACCTTTGCAAATAATTAGCATTTTTGTTCTTTTGTTTTGCATACCAAAGTTAAATAAGAATAACCTGTTACGTAAACGTTCTCGAAAGCAAGATCTTGTTCCTTGTTGCCATATAAAACTACTGATACACCTAGTTTAGCAGGTTCTATAATCAGTTTATTTGGGGCTCTATACTTGTTAATAGCCATTGGGCCTTACTATACTAGTTATGATGATGACAATCTACATTAGACGACTCTAGACGCATAGGAGCCACAACTTCTTTTTTGAAATTGTACATCTCCCAAAGAGACCATGACCACTGTATGGTATGCACTATAATTCTATAAGATAAGAAAAACAAAATGCAAATGTGTAACTGTATTACATGAAACTAGTTAGGGCTGGGGAAATAAACCGAACCTGAAAATCTGAACCGAATTCGATCCGATAAAAATGAATTTGAACCCGACTTAAATACCGAATAGATCTTGTTTTATGGTATTTCGGATTATGAGTATTATCCGAACCAAACCTGAAATTAAATAGATATCCAATAGAACCCGAAACATTCAAAAAATTTAATACGAACGTGTCCCGAATATGATCTTAAATATTCTGAATGGGGCTAATTTTGATAAACTTGGAAAATCGAAACCCGATTGGAAAAAATCGAAACCCGATTGGAATCCCAAATGCCAAGGCCTAAAATTGGTCAAACCTTTTTCCTTGTATAGACATCTAAAAGCTAACGCCATTTTCCTAGGACTTCTCTTTCTATAACTCTCCTAAAACAATGCAACAGCGCCATTAGATGCAGACAGCTACTAACCAAAAATAAGCACACAAAACAAACTACAAAAGAAAGAAACATAACAAAGAAAATTCCATGGACATCACAAGAAACAGCACCACCAAGCTCTATTTTCAAACACAATATTCACTTTATTTTATATTAAGTGTCGTTGTAAAGTAATTCTTTTATTACAAAATAAATATTATTTTCGATTTACAGTATACAATTTATTAATTTTCTACTACACTTTATTTTTATTGGTTAAAATATGGTTAAGTGTTAAATAATTGTATTTTTATATTAAAAAGATACAAAATTAATTATTTTATTAATCCATGTTGACAAAGCTAAAGTGACACTTAATATGAAACATGGTAAAAAGAAATAATGTATTTTCCTTAATTTGTTTTAATGCTTCTCTTATTGATCTTGAATATCTTTTTGTTTGTTTGTTGTTTAGAAGTCTTTAGATGCTAAGCCAAGTATGTTGAATGTTATGTCCTCACTGTTAAATCTTGGGATCAAGTTTTTCAGATTTTCAAATATAAATTGTGTATTAAGTCTCATGTCCTTTGTGGCTTTGTTGTTTCTCCATTTCAGATTTTTTGGATATGGGTTTTAGATGATACACGGAACACGATATTTGGAATATTGTCTTATAATCCGTTCATATATGTTTACTGCTCGAATCAGATTTTCTCGATTCGGGTTAGATCCAAACTCAGTTACAAAAAAAAAAAAAAAAAAAAACCTAGTGTAAGCTCTTTTAAGTTTTAACTAATAACATAGCATGTCCTGACTCCGTGAATAGTTGTGTATTTTTATTTACAACATTAAATTTACAAAATAGCTCAACCACAGCCAAAACTAATCCATCACAATAAACATCTGAGAAGACCATAAGCAATAACAATACCCATGATGAAAGAATGGTCTACTTGTGGCTCCACTACCATTGTCAATACATCTTCTCCAAAATCCAAGCCATTAACGTTTGATTGTTTCTTTTTAACCTCTGCCATTAATCTTCCCGATCCATCTTCGATTGTGAAAACCGACCCATGATTCACAATCTTATAACAAGATTGTTGGTCATCTTTACTAGATTCCATTACAACTTTGTAAGACGAATATGAACCTCTTGGCGAAATCTTGAAGTTCTTTCTTAGTCGAAACCTTGTCCCCGTAGAGTTGCATCCTTCACAGGATTTGAATAATCCAAACTTTTGTTGAAACTCAAACAAGACTTCTCCGTATAAGTCCATAAGGTAAACTTCACTGCAATTCTTGGAATCATAATTATCCACACGATAGAGTAAGTTTCCCTTGGAATCAAAAACTGTGCAGCCTTTGCCATGGTACACTAGAGATCTCATCCAAATCGTGAAACTCTCTTGCTCCGTCGTCAAGTACGGCGAGCTCTTGACTTCTCCGATGCCGGAGTCCACCGGTAATGCTTTGACAGGATGAATCTGCACCATGTTCGTCGCTGGAAACCCCCAAATACCGTCGTTGCTAAGTATTTGTATGTGTTGAAAAACTGCTATATTGATAGAATGTGTCCTCTTCGTATATATACTCTCTACTTTATCATATAAAAAAGATATATGTCTCTCATTATGATAAAAAAAAAAGGATATATTCGAAGGTTACATCCACATGTTCAATGTGAGATACGACCAAAAATATGGAAAAACTATTATTAACGACGTAAACTAATTAAAATATTATACATATACGTGTAGAAAGGTCGTTATCACGTGGATAGTGTTAGATTCGAAAATATATCAATGCATATACATTATACAATAGTAATATACTTTCAATTATTAGTTTTTGGTATAATTATTAGTTCGAGCCTTAGAACTGGTCTTTGGTTTTGGGCTCACTGTAGTTGCAATCTCCTCGTTGTTGAATGCTGACAGTTTTTTGGAATAATATACCTCACACAAACAGTTATGACTACCAGATTAACTGCTGTTTTAAAATATTTCATTTTCTTCATCCTCTTAACATTACAAATAATTAGTATTTAAATTTTTGCTTTTGCATACAAAATTCCAAATATAATTTGGCTGTCACATAAACGTTTTCATGACCAAAATGATAAGTTTCTTAGGCTTCCAACTTAAAAACCAATTGACAGTTAATGGATTGGACCAAGTTCCGATGTGGGATCTTTAATCCCAACACCCTCCCTCGAGATAATGGTGCGTATAAGCATTAATCTCGCACAATCCATCATACCCCTACCGAGACAATGTTTTCTTTCTTCTAACAATCTCGATAAAACTGAGCCTTCTCTGGGCCATCAGCTAATGTGTTGATCGGGCCAATTTCTAGGCCGGATTAATGGGTCAGGGTGTGGACCGGTTCTGATACCATGATAAGTTTCTTAGGCTTCCAACTTAAAAACCAATTGGCAATTAGTGGATTGGACCAAGTTCCGATGTGGGATTTTTAATCCCAACACAAGATTTAGGGCTTGATTGGTTCTCCCACCATCACCCGTAAACACAACTTTTGCGGTTGGTAACGGTTATTGGCGTTGTGCAACAATCATAGAAAATATTATAAACCGCTTCAAATCGTTCTAAATCTCTAAAATTCAAAAGTCGGTTCCAGCCAACGTTTGCAGACAATTGCGAAAAGATAAAAAAAAAAAATTTCTAGAAAACTCTATAAATATAAAAATAAAATATTCAATTAAAATTTTAAATTAAAATAATTAAGATACCAAAATATTTATATTATAAAATTTCCAAAAAATATTTTCTATTTTTTAAAAATTTAATTGTATAGTGTTATGAATAAAATTTTTATATTATTAGGAAAATATGATTTTAATATTTTTACAATTATATAAAATATAAATATTGTTAATTTATTACATAACCGCTGATGTATTTGATAATAAACCAGTCATAAATATTCCGCAAACACAACATTTTTTAAACGTTGAACCAGTCGTCTAAATTTCTTACTAACGCTTAAAACCGTAATTTTTCGCATATACGTACAAACGTTCACAACCGCAATCACTGTGTTGTAACCAGTCAGACCTTATTTATTTTTTAATCGTTTTCAGTCGCAAGATAATGTTTGTTGTTGACATTTAAAACAACTGGTATCACTAGTTTAGAAGGTTCTATGATCAGTTTTATTGGCCTTTATACTCGTTAAGAGTCCATTGGGCCTTAATATAATAATATTGATGATAATCATTACATTATACGAATATAGAGGCGGAGGAGAGAAGCCACATCTTTTCATGCAATTGTACTTCTCCCAAGAGTACCATGACCACTCTATGCACTACTCTAATTCTATAACACAAGACAAAGAAAATGTAAATGTAAATGTGTTACATGAAACTGGTACCCTTTAGACAATGGTCCACTCAGAGAAACTGGTCAAGCCTTTTTCCTTCTATAGACATCTAAAAAGCTAATGCCATTTCCCTACAACTTCTCTTTCTATAACTCTTCTCAAAACAATATAACAACCACATTATATGCAGACAGCTACTAACCAAATATAAACACACACAATAGAAGAAACAAAACAAAGAAAACTCCATGGACATCACAAGAAACAGCACTACCAAGCTCCATCTTCAAACTCAGTCTTTGTTTCCTCCTAACATGGTAAAAGAAACAATATATTTTTCCTATGTTTTAATGCTTCTCTTCTTTATATTGTTCTTGAATCTCTCTTCATTTTGTTTGTAGGAGAGAACTTTAGATGTTGAGCCAAGAATTAGCACAAACCCATTTGCAGAAGATTTCATCAAATCACTACCAATTTCATCAAACCAAACCAGTATCAGCAGCAGTAGTGAGATGGTGAATGAAAGAAGACAGAGTTTCTCATCACAAAAGAGCATTGGAGAAGGAAGAAGCAGTGGACAGAGAAGAGTGATGTTAATGGAGTCTCCTTGCACTCCAGGCAGAGGTGTCTTCAGTTTCAGTAGCAGCCTCTCTGGGAGAAGAAGAAACTTCCCTTCTAAATGGGATGATGCCGAGAAATGGGTCACCTCCAGTCATGATTCTCCAGCACATCCCCTCAAAACCAGTCACATGTGTAATAACTCCCACTTTGATGGCTTCAAGAACCATCAAACCCTTAAAGGTAAGAACAAGAAGCTCTTTACATAGATTCTTGAAAAGTTTTGATATTCATGGTTCAATTTTGTGGTTTTGTTAGATGTGCAACCGATTCTTCCATCAACAGAAGGGTTTATATTCAGAGATCTCGAGGAAGAAGAAGAAGAAGCTCAAGTCCAACACAGAGACATGGGAACAGAGATGACACCAGTGGGAAGCGTAACGACTTCAAGATGTCACACACCCTTCAAAAGCACGTCTCCAGCGAGACACAACACGCCTTCGAACATGTCCGGACCGTTAACAGAAACCAAAAACGTTATAGACATCTCCGAGTTCGCAGACAAGTTAAGACTCAGTGGGTCAGCTGCGACTCAGTTTTATAACTCGGTGACGAGTTAAGACATTCGGACATGGAAAATGAGTTACAGAGAAGTGTTTCAGAATCTAAAACTGCTTTATGGGATGAGGACGAGGACGACAAGATCAAGTTTTGTCAAAGGTAATAATAAACACAATTTTTTAAAAAAGTAAAAAAAATAAACACAAATATGTGTTTCAAAAAATAAAACACAAATCTTGAAATAAATTATAGTACAATCTTGAATGTCTGTAAATCTTAAAAGTCGTTTTTTTTTGTAGATATCAAAGAGAAGAGGCCAAGATCCAAGCATGGGTGAATCTCCAGGATGCTAAAGCCGAAGCTCAGTCTAGGAAACTCGAGGTAATGTAGCATGCTAATAATACGTATATTTTGTAGAGAGAACCGTATAAATATACGTATTTATTAATGTTCTAGTAACATATTCTTGGAGCCACGCACCAACAGTGACTAGTCTTTGTTACGTAACGAAGCAAAAAGTCTTCGAGTTTCTAAAAGTGATGATGATATCTTTGTAGTTGTACTTGTAGTTTGTGCAATTCCCATGTGAAAGAGATTGTTTATTTTTAAAAGTAAGTTCCTCTCTTGGGAAGTTGTTAGAGTGTAGATTTAGATTAAGCTATTAATCATTTTATTATGTAGCTATTTAATCATACAAGTCTAGGTTTTATGGTTGAGTGATGAATTTTTATTGACTTAGGTGAAAATACAAAAGATGAGATCAAATTTAGAGGAAACATTGATGAAGAGAATGGATACAGTGCACCGGAGAGCGGAGGAGTGGAGAGCTACGGCGAGGCAACAACATGCTGAGCAGTTGAAGAGGGCAGCAGAGACGGCGAGGAAGTTAACAAACCGCCGTGGCTATTTGGTTTCCGGACGTAGCTCATGCGGTTGTCTTCCTTGTAATAGTAGTAGTTCTTGTCACTAACTTGGTTAAAAAAAAAGAAGAAAAGTAAAATACAGGACAAGAAATTACTGTTTATGTGTTTGGATTAATCAACATGTATGTTATTTTTACTGCTTTATCACATGAAATACAAAGAAGGACACTGAGTCTATTTCGAAAACTACTTTCTAAACAGTCTTAAAAAATTGTGAACTCAAGACTGGATAATGTACATTAAGATTCTAAAGATTTTGAAAAAGAGAACACTAACTAGTGGAAGCTCTGATTATTTTTTAAACTGTATAGTGGAGTTTTGTTGTTGTTGTTTTGTTGTTTAACTAAACTTGAATTGTTGTTGTCATGCAAAAGTTTCAAATCCAGAGAAGTAAGAGATTTTGATTAAAGACAAACCTTTGCGTCTGAAAGGAGTAGAAGCAGTCCTAGCAACAAGTCACAGCTTTTCTTTCTCCCCATAATTTTACAAGACAACACTCTTTCATTTTTTTTGTTCTTTTCTGTTTGGTTTTATACATAATCTGTTTTATTATTCTATTTTAAATTAATAGATTTTGTCAAGTTTACATTTTATATAATTTAGAAACAAGTTCAGTTTTAATTAGAAATATTCCGAATAACTTTAAATCAATAGTATTTCAATAAAAAAAGTTTCGAAGTTTATTAGCTATCATTATTAACTAATGAAATTATATGTTGAACAAAAAAAAACTAATGAAATTATATATAAAATTTTAAATGTCTTTTCGAAACATTTTTTGGGGAAATAAAGGAAGTATATAGGTACAGACAACAAAAAAACATTTAGACTGTATATTTTGTCACTTCTATTATTGCAACACATATTTTTGTGTGTATTGAGATGAAAAGGACATGTAAAACTCCAGTCCTATATTAGTGAAATGTCAATTCACAATTTTACAGTACAAGTTCCAATCCAACTGAACAACAAACAAAGAGTTAAGGCCTACTTATGGCCCATGAGTAAATCAGTCAGGCCTATTAAAACCCATTCCAAAACGACGCGTTTCGAATCCATCTAACTTGTTGTTCAAGAAGTGAACCTTCGCTAAACTTGTAAAAGCCAGATCCCCAGTTATTTTCCAATTCGCCGATCAATCAGCTGGTATGATGATTCTCTAATCTCAACAAGGGTTTTTGATTCTGTTACTCCTGAGTTTCACCCAGATCTGTTAATGTTTCTAGGGTTTTGATTGTGTTGTGCAGACTTTAAGGGTTTTACAGATCGAAGTCGCGGAAGAAGAAGAAGATGTTTCTCACTAGGTTTTTTTTTATGAATCTATGTTCTTATGCTTCTGGGTTAACTTAAAGTTTCGTCCTTTATGTGTTTGGATCGTGGGTTTATGCTTATTGCAGTTTCTGATTTTTGTTGTTGGTAGGACTGAGTATGACAGAGGAGTCAACACTTTCTCCCCTGAAGGCAGGCTCTTCCAAGTCGAGTATGCCATTGAAGCTATCAAGGTTACCCTTTTATTAGCTTCTCTGTGAATCGAGAATAGTTAGGTATCATCAACCTTGAGAATAGTTGAAGAAAGGGGTTATTACATGGATAATGATTTAGGGGTTTCTTTGATTGCTTAGACTGTTGCATAAGTTGGATCACATCTCATTGTGTATCTGATGAGTGTGGAATGGTTTACAGCTTGGTTCTACTGCAATTGGAGTGAAGACAAAGGAAGGAGTTGTGCTTGCTGTTGAGAAGCGTATCACCTCACCTTTGCTGGTTTGTCTTTTCTACATTGAATATTCTGTTTCTCAAGTTTTCTTTGATTCAACGAATTGAGTTTCTGATGTTGCATTGTCAATGGAATCTGAAGGTGGCTGAAAACATTAGCATTCTATGTTACCTATGGTGATATATGCTAGCTCAGTCTATATTAAAATACTAGTTACAAGTGTTAGGAACAATATCAATCTGTGTTAAATACTACCTTGTAAATTTTAAGATAGGATGAAGTTTAACTGTATAAGCACTCTATGTTACTTATTGAGATAAGTCTACGTTAAAATAATTCGTATAGTGAATCGTACTGAGAACAACATAAGTCTGTGTTATTATATACATTCTGTGATGGGATGAAGTATAAGCATTCTGTGTTACTTATAGCGATATCTCAATCTGTGTTATGTACTTTTTAATTTGAAGATAAGATTAAGTATAAGAATTCTATGTTACTTATAGTGATAATCTTAAAATACAACATTTTATATTTCAGGAACCGAGCAGTGTCGAGAAGATTATGGAAATTGATGACCATATTGGTTGTGCCATGAGTGGTTTAATTGCTGATGCGCGTACACTTGTTGAGCATGCAAGAGTTGAAACTCAAGTGAGATTTCTGTTTCTTGATTTTTATTTTTGTATTCCTTTTAGCATTAAAAGATCTTATACGGTATTGACTAATTGTTTGATGCTCTACAGAACCACAGATTCTCGTATGGTGAGCCCATGACTGTGGAGTCCACAACACAAGCGCTGTGTGATCTGGCTTTACGGTTTGGTGAAGGAGATGAAGAATCAATGGTAATAACACTAATAACCAATTTGGAATCTTTAGTTGCTTTCACATCTCATGGCTTTTATGATTAAAATTTACACATGATTTATGAGTATTTTATTACAGTCCCGGCCATTTGGTGTATCTCTTCTCATTGCTGGTCATGATGAAAACGGACCAAGCTTGTAAGCATTTATTCACTATAACTATTTTCTACTGATTTGATTCACTTGTTTGAACGTTACTTGTTGATCACATTGCTAAATAAGTCGGTTTTGTTACAGGTACTACACGGACCCGTCTGGAACATTCTGGCAATGCAACGCAAAGGCAATTGGTTCAGGCTCAGAAGGAGCTGATAGCTCTCTTCAAGAGCAATTCAACAAAGTAAATTTAGCTTTTATACAATAATATCTCAGTATGATTGCATCAATTGCTCCTGCTGTTATAACCTTTAGTTTTCCTTCACAGGATCTGTCACTCAGTGAAGCTGAGACGATCGCTGTATCTATCCTCAAGCAAGTTATGGAAGAGAAGGTATAAACTTTTCAACCCAAAACTTCTACATTTTACACCTAAGTTTATGATCCAACCTAACTGGCCTTTCTTGTCTGTGTAGGTGACTCCGAATAATGTGGACATTGCCAAGGTAGCACCAGCGTACCATCTCTACACTCCAGAGGAAGTGGAAGCCGTCATTAGTCGTCTTTGAGGATGATGGGTGATGTATCTATCCAACTTGTTCCAGTTCGGATTCTGAAACAAAATCACTTTCGTTCAGTTGGTCTGGTAGATTGATGTTTCATGTGACATTTTATGTCTTGTTATGTAAGAGAACCTTTACTTTCCCATTATCATTCTAGAACACTCTTGGATTTGGGTGACTCAGAAATTTCTAGTCTCATGGCTTCGTTTCGTTAGCTGCTATTGGGTCGGAATCACGTTTGCTGCCTTTGTCTTGACAGTAAAATCATTCGGCCGAGTAACAAAAGTCATGATCAACCTTACAGATGCAAGCTGAACCTTTTTAATCTTATTTTGTTTAGTGTTGGTTAGACAATTAAACAACAATTATCTCTTTGTTCAATGGTTAATAGCTTGATTTCTACAAAATTTGGTTTAAATTCTACAACCTTTGATTTAAATTTTGTGTACTCTATAAATTAAATTTTTCAGAACAATATAATTGTATAATTTATTGATCTAAAAGCCAACAATTATCTAAGAGCATAATTATAAGGGGTTCTTAGAAGGAATTTTGGATTGTAGACCCCACAATTTTTTTAAGAACTAGTACCCAAAATTATTATTTAGAGCACCATTATCCAAAGTGCTTAAAGAAAAGTGTTTAACAAAAAATTAGTATAACACTGGGTGGGTCTCACACAAATCTCAAGCACCATTATTTCTAGAGCTTAATTAAGCATCGGTGTAGGCATGATGCATGTGGGGGTTCTACTAACACGTGGTGATCCGTAATTGGTTCGTTTATTAAAAAGAAGAAAAATTTTAAGCACTTTTAAGAGTAGGTCCAACGGTGTTCGCACACCGGCTTAATTTTCAATTTTTATTTTTATTATTTTATTAATTTTTTCGTCTAATTAGAAAAAACTAATTAAATTATTATTTTTCATACCAAAAAAAAAGAAAAAAAATTAAGAAACCCATGAGGGGTTTAGAGCAGCTACATTAGTAAACTCCAAGTGAGGTTTACACGAAAAACGAGAAAAAAATATATTAAAATAACTGAAAAATAGTGAACCTGTCTCGCCCAGTCTCTCTCTGCCGAAGCGGTTCATCACTGTTTTCGTGGGTCCCACGCCACGTGGCGGCCCACGATTGGTTCAACTATTTTTCTTTTTTTTAATAAAAATAACGAAAAAAAATAAAAGAAATATTAAATTTGAACCCCAAGGGGGGTTTATTAATGTGGGTGCCCTTAGGGATAATACTATTACACCAACTATAACACCAGAATATAGTACAACCGTATCAAATAAATGGAAAGTAGATCGAAATCAAATATTTCTAAAAACAAAAATAAATTATGAACTCAAGTACTGTGGTCTCTATTATTATGTAACAAATCAAGATAATTGATGCGCCACTCCCGCCGCTTGTATCCAACCACCACCATGTAAAAGAGTACCAACCGTAAACCTCCCAGCCTCAGCATCTGACATAACCGGTTTATACCCGACCCATCTAACTCTATGTGTCACATCCGCCCCCGGACCCGTATTCTTATACTCTCCATACACTATACTCGCCGGCGGGTCAATTCCCACAACCCACGACAACCACCCCGAAGCTCTCACCACCGGTCCAATCTCCGTCTCCATGATCACCGTCGTCGAGAACTCCTTCCACGGCCGGCCAAGATACGTCGGAGCAGTCACGTTCCCGTTGCCGGAGATAGTGCATCGCTGGATCGACATACCCGAGTTCTGGTTCGGATCTTTCTTGCCCTGAGCCGTTATGGTGTTGAACTGTCTCTGGAGAGGCTGACGTGGCATGATGTTGCAGCCTTGGAAGACGACGGCGGCGCTTCCGAAGATGAAGTCGATTGTTCCGGTGACGTCGCAGTCGCGGTAGAACTGGCGGTTGGAGTGAGGGTAGAGAGTGTCTTGGAAACCGTCGAAGGAGCATTGGTAATAGACGGAGAAGTCGGAGCCTGACCGGAACGCCACCGCTTGATGTTTCTCTGGTCCGGCGGTGTTTATGATTCCGATGTCTTTCATTATAAACCCTTTGCCTTGTATAGCTGCAAAACGTGACCGTTTTAGTTAATTGTTGGTGACGAAAAACACAAATGAGCAGCTAGAGTGATTAGGTTCGGTTCGGTTAGTTTATTTTTTTCGATTTTCTCTATTGATGGATTTATAGGTATATGAATTATATAGGTTTTTATAAGATTCAGTTAAGTTCCCTTTCGATTCTAATAAAAATATTGAAAATCAGTTAAATTCTGGAAATTATAAATTAAAACAAATTTGGATATTCGAATAATTTTAGATGATTAAAACAAAATTTCAAATAATTTGATAATTATATAAAATAATCTGATATTTAAATTATTTTATATAATTTAGATATTTATTTAGAGAATTTGTTTTTGAAAATATAGAATTATTGTATAACTAAATATAACCACTATTTTATATACCTATTTGATTTTTAGAAAATTATTTGATCTTTGGTTAGACTTGGCTTTTTAGTTTTAAAAAATCGAAACCGGTTTAGTTTGGTTCTTTTTCAGTTTGCTATGGTGGATTCTGGATAAAAATGCCTAAACCTAAAACCTAGGACTTACCAAACGTAGCCGTTTCGTATGTCGGAGTCCCGTCCACAAAGTTCTTACCGCCGGAGATAATGGTCTTCGTCTTTCCATCACCGTAGATCATAACATTCCACTTACCCTTATCCATCACCACATTCTCAACGTACTTTCCAGCCTTCACGTATATCACAAACACTCTCAAACTCTTCTTCGGCACTCTCGCCACCGCTTCATTCACCGTCTTCACATCCCCCGTCCCATCCCCCGCCACCGTCACATCCGGCTTCAACCCCTCCGTCTGCAACAACCTCCGTCTCGCCCACTCCGGGGTCTCCCGACTCATCAAAAGCCGTCTTCTCCTCCCGTGTATCGGTATCCCGAAGTCGCTCAACGCCGCGAGGATCTTGGCCGCGATGGCGAGGCTGTTGCTAGTGAACTCGGTGGACCGACTCATCGCGGACTTCAGGTTCTGAGTGATGGTCGAGTTCAAGTACTCTGTCTTGTTCTGACCCAACTCGTCTAACGTGTCGAAACACGTCTCGTGGTCTGTTACGGTCGCGCTAAGCCAAGTCTTGAGATCGTCTACTGTGGATGAGTTTAGTGTCTTTTTATTACTCCCGTCGTCGTTCATGACCGAAACGGTGTCGTTGAGACGGTCCAGCGCGTCTTCGATAAGCTCCCCGCAAACACTTAACGCGGATTTGATCCTCTCGTCCTCTGTCTTCTTGGAAAGCTTCTCCGGTAGATCGGATATCCCGTCGAGCTCGTCGATGATGACCTTTAACGAGAGCTTGAAGAGGATCACTGGATCGGTTGTGTTGGAGGATGGAAGCTTTGAGATGCTGTTGAAGCAAGAATCAGGGTAACGAGTCGCGCCGCAGATTGTTTTGAGTGAGGCGGATGGTGTTAACTCGGGAGGTGGATTCGGTGTTGACTCGGAGGAGTTCTTGTTTTTGTTGTGAACCACGGCGGCGACTACGGCGGCGATTATTACCAAGACGAGGATTACGCCGGAGACTGATAGTAGAATTAGACGTTTTCTTGTCTTTTTCTTCAATGCTAGATCTTGAGCTTGGTCTACTTTTCCATATCCTGATTGAACTGAAGCCATAATGCTAAAAATGGTTTAAAAGTAAAACTTCTTTCTTGGTTCTTACTTAAGACACTTTTTGGGGTTTGTTTATGTTCTGTTATAGTGTTATGTCCGAGGGACATGTATTGTTGCCTTTATATAAAGTGTGGAAGCCAAGCAAATGTAATGTGAATTTATGAAAGTGCCTCGCTAGTTCCATGGTACTTTCGTGATGTCTGCAAGTCCCCGAGTGTGTGTGACAGTTGACCTAGCTGCATGTGGAGATTCATGATTAGGTTCTAATTATTTAATTACGTAACTTGATTATAAAGTATAGTTCTCCATCATGTGGCTTTTAATTTTTTGTCTTCCCGATCAAGTGCATGTCTTAACCCCATTCATAACAAATTAATCTTTCTTTAAGATGGACTGTACGGACTTGTTAACAATAATTAGGGATCATGTGGATTGACCTAGTCGTAATTTGAATGTTTATGTCATCTAATCTATTAAAATATAATTTTATTTTTATTTAGTGATAATAAGTCGTTGGACCATTTCATTAGTAATTTTATCATGTTAAAAATATTATTAAATATTAAATCATTTGAATAAAGTATATCATCACATATAAAAATATTTTATTTTAATATTATTTATTTTTGAATATATCATATTTTTCTCTAACATCTTATAAAATCTTTTGGTTACTAATTTTAAATCAATAATTAAATTTGTAATTACTTTTAAAATACTCGAAATAAATACTATTTAGATTTTAGATTAAAAAAATAAATTTTTTTATAATATATTATTTAATTTAGAAAGTTAAAATATTAAAACAAGAAAAATAAATTTAAGTTTAATAAAAATAAATTATAAATTATAAAAAATACAAATTATATTATTTAGTTATGTGATTTTTTAGTTTACAGTTGATGATTTATGTTTGTAAATTGAATAAAATAATTTAGCCTATTTAAATTACAAAGTGATTAAAATAATTTTTGATCAATGAAAAGCTTTTAAAGAATCTAATTTATTTTCATTAGAAAAAATCAAAAAAAAAATTAACGAAGTGGATTAAATAGATAAATTATTCTATTTTATTCCTTATATAATTATATTTATTTTAAAGTTATATAAAATATGAAAATACAAATACATTATATATAAATATATGTTGCTTCACTAAAACTAAAAATATGAATAAAATGATAAATAATTATATATTAATAACATCGAACAAGACTTTAAATTACATAATATAAAACACCAAATTGTAATAATATACTTTTATCAATTTGTCATAAAAATGCAATATAAATAATTATAAAGAATGAAAATATATCTGCGCGGGTTATAGTCTAATTTTTTTTTTGAAAAATAAGTACATATAAGTTCCGGTATAATGTAGAATCAGTCGGTAGTATGAATCCTTACGATAGTTCTTAAGATAAACGTAATTACGATAATTCTTAAGATAATTGTACTTACGATAATTCTCAAGATAAGTGTACTATCAACTAAACTTTACGTAATTTATGAAATAGGTGGCGAATATCATGCTAATATTCGGTACACAAAATTCTCGAGGACAATAATAAAACAAATACAAGTCAAAGTCAGCATTCTACACCAATTCAATTGATTATTGGCGCAATTTTCAATTATACACATTGGAAATAAAGTAAAATACACTTGAAAATGTAAACAAACAAATAGAAAATTGAAGTGAGAAGAACATTATCTTGCAAGATTGAAATGGCCATTTGCTCGTCTAACAAGTGGCGTCTCCATCTAAAACTCCAGCAGCCTTAAATCCGACAAGTAACAGCACCAAGTTGTAAATTGTTTTGGTTCAACACAATAACATTACAATATTATCACAATGGTTATACAACCGAAACTTCTACATATCTTATGAAAATTCATGTTCAACTATACTATCCTGCATTGCTCCATGCTGAAGACCTTTTGTGCAATTTTGATTTTTATATATACAATTAAATATAAGATGAACCAAATTAAAATTGAAAAGTAAAAACTAATCTTTTAATATTGATAATATGGGAATTCTCTCAAATAGCATTTTTAAATTTCTATCACAAAAATAGACTTCAAAAATTAAAATAACCAAAATAATATTTTTTATTTTGAAAATTTTAAATTTTTTATTTTTATTTTTAATATTTGAAACCTTATTCCCAAAACCCCACGCCCCAACTCTAAACAAAACAAGACTAGGATTAGTTAACTCAAACAATATAAATGAATATTTAGTAAAACATTTAAGTGATATTTTGTCATTTTAATTGTTAAAGTCTATATTTGTGACAAAAACTTTTTTAGGTCTATCCTAGTCATTTTCCATTTTCTCTTGATCTATACTATTATTTAAGAAGTAAATTTGCTTAGTTGTCAACTTCTCCTTGATTTTAGGTAAATTTTTTTATTTACCTTATTTAAATAATTTCATATACAATTTATTATTTAATAAAAACGAACCACTATCAATAATATTACACTTTTAGAAAATAAGATAATTCTTATCTATTATATTGTTATCTATAAAATATTATTTTTTATCATAAAAATTAAAAATTAAGTTAAAATATTAATAGTTAAATATAAAGAAATCAATGCTGATTTATCAACTTCTCCATGGTTTTATACTTTGCTTATTTATCATATTTTAATAATTTCATATATAATTTATCAAATAACAAAACGAATGTATACTAATAATACTAGATTTTTTTTTTTTAAAAAAATTCTTATGTATTAGATTGTTATCTTGAATATATATTTTCTATTATAAAATCTAAGTGAATTATCTGATTTGTAATTTCTCCATGATTTAGATAATTATGATTATTTGTCATATTTTTAATAATTTCATATAAAATTTATTATAAAATAAAAACGAACTTCTATTAAAAAGTTATATTTTGAGAAAATAAGATACTTCTTATGTATTATATTGTTATCTTAAAAATATATTTTTTACTATAGAAATAAAAAATTAAGATAGAAAAGATTATAATTAAATAAATTAAAGCAACACATTTGTAAAATATATTTTTAATAATTTCATATAAAATTTATTATAAATAAAAACGAACTTCTATTAAAAAGTTATATTTTGAGAAAATAAGATACTTCTTATGTATTATATTGTTATCTTAAAAATATATTTTTACTATAGAAATAAAAAATTAAGATAGAAAAAATTATAATTAAACAAATTAAAGCAACACATTTGTAAAAATATATTTTTAAAAATATATTGTTATGTGAGTGTTGTCATTTATAGTTAATTTTAAAACATAAATCATAACTTATTATATTGGTTTGAATTAAATAAAATATAGAATAATAATAAATTGCACAGAAATTATGCCCGCATGTGCGTGCAAAACACCTAGTAATATTGTACCTTATAAGTTATAACTATTTTATTAATAAAAGCTTGGTTAAAATTCTTACAAATATTATTGTCTTTTAATGTTTTATAAATTTTACTAACATGTAAATATATTAACTAAAATGGTTAAATATAAAAAAAATTAAATTAAAATATGCATCGAATATTACTTCGATGATAATGGAAAAACTATGGATAATTTGTTTACTAACCCTGAAACTCGACATACAATTGAGTCATCATCATAGATACAACTGCCACATCTCAAACTGGAAACTGCTTCTCTCAAGCACGAGACCATAGAAGAAGCCGAAATTTTAAAATCACTAATTGAACAATATGTTTTTTTTTTCTCTGCTAAATCATTACAACATGACCTCATCACCAATTGATAAAGACTAGTTTAGGCTGCTTCTGTGACTTCTATGAGCCTCCCACGAACCCACTTCTTAGTTACATTCCCTGATTCCAAACATTCAGCCTTTTCTTCCACCTCATGGCAAACGTTAGAACCATTTGGAAGATGAGGACTCTCACTAAGTTTGTTAGCTCCATTAGACTCTGAAGGTGGTTGATCAACTGTGGTTCCGTTTGGCTGTGGAATCATCCCATGTGTTTTACCACCTTCTATGTTGAATGTCGGCAAATCGCTACATCTCAAGTTCAAGTGAAGACTCTCTCCATTGATAGGGAATGTGTGTGTTCCGTTTACTTCTCCTGGCTGTTCTTGATGGTCTGTGTCTTGTGTCCCATCTTCATCTGAAGATGCATGGCTAATTTCTAAGGATTCAATCAGTTGTGTTGCTTCTGCTATAAGCTTTTTACTCTCTAATAAAGATGCTTGAGCAACAGGGTTTGTCATAGCAGCAATCTCAAGAACCTTCGCAGCTCTCTCAGCTTCAGAGATCAACAGCCTGACAAAGAAAGAGATTACTTTTCTTTGTTACAATTCCAAAACAAGAGAATAATTAACAGTTACTGACCTTGCTCGTTCCACAGCATCCATCTTCTTAGACTCTTCTGCAACTCTTTTTGCTCTGATGCTTTTTATCATTTCCAGCTTTGAACTCGCTAAAGGATCTTTATACACAGGTGTTCTGCGCTTCCTTACTTTCACTACTTGAACTTTGCGAACAGTCTCTGAATCTCTTGTAGTTTTCGGTGTAGGATTCTTCTTTCTAGGCTCTCCAGTCCCACTTGGTCTTCTACGACGCCTCTCAGCACCATCAGGTATACCGTGATATTTAGCCAAGCCAGAGCAAACCCTTTCACGGTAAGCCTGACAAGAGAAACCAAAACCAAAACCAAGTTAAAGAACAACAAGTTTGATGTGATCATATTACAAAACACACAACTTACTGGATCAGCCCATTTAGCAGCTATTGCTTCAGCGATTCTCCTTCTCTGTTCAGGAGATTTTGGAGCTCTTCTGTTACCTTTAGCTGCTCTAACGGCTTTCCTCTGCTCTATACTTTCAAGCCATTCTATTTGATTCTGCTGATCCAAGATCTTGTAAGAATCCCACTGAAACTCTTGTTCGTCGTCTGTGTGTCCTTTTCTAGCAGCTTCTGCTAACAAGTTTTGCCACTCGAAATGACAGGTCTCCTGCACTTTTCTTCTCTCCTTACGCCTTGCCCACCGCATCCTCACTCCCTCCCCTATCTTCAACCGTGTCTCCTCGCTGTTACAAATCACGCAAGTTAAAACCAAAAGCTCCATCAAGTGAAAAAAGCACAAAACAACAAAACAGTACTTACTTTTGCGCGTGTCCGAGATTTGATAACTTCATCCTGATCTGTCAAAGGAAAAGGAGACAAAAGGTTCTATGAGGGATTGAAAAAATCTGATGCAAAGAGCAAACATAAGTTACCTCAAGACTAGAATAACACAAGGGTAGAATCTTTTACAATACGTAAGAGTTACTATGGGCAACTCCTCTAAGGAGACATATATAAACATTCTTACATGACATCACCTTAGGATCTTGCATTGCAATCTTTGTCCTTTCTCTAATCTTCTGTAGAGTCTCTGCATAAATAAAAACAAAAGCACAATTAGTATAATGTTTACCAACTAGACGCAAATCTAGATAGATTGCTGAGTAAATGTCAAAGCAAAAACAACCCACCTGGACTATGCTTCCTGCCTTTGTTCCAAGGAGTGTTCCCTCTATTAGCCTTGGAGATCCTCATCCTTCTTAGTCTTTCTCTGTCATCCACCGCTTCTCCATCATCAGAAGACAAGGAATAGCTTTGTTGGTGTTCTTTCTGAGCAGGATGTTTGGTTTCAACAGTGGCCACTGCAGTAATAATGAGCCTGCCTCTTGGTACATGAAGATGGCCGCCTGCGTAAAATTTCAAACTCTTGGAGAAACTGGATTGTCTCCATGGATTAGGTAGGGTTTTAGCATGGATGATACTCTGAGCCCCCAATGGAACAAGATGAGGTTGCAAGGAAGGTTGGATAGTAGTAATATCTGCAAGAATTAAAAACAGTGTTATCTCAAAACAAATGAGAACCATCTCCAGGAGGTAAAGAACAGTGGAAAACACAAGTAAACACTCTCTACAAACAATGCAGAGCAAGTCTTTTTCTTCTTCTCTCATACGCATTTAACAAAGCAGTAACTATGTAATATGTTTTTTTTTTTTTTTTTTTAAAAGCTTAGCTTTTTCTCAGATTTTAGACAGTACTTTAAGCAGATAAGCTTAGCAGGGAAATATCCAGAGAAACTTAAGGAAAATATGCATTTTTAATTCCAAATTAAGGACAAAACAAGTGATCAAACAAAAGAACCATCTCTAGAAGTTAGAACACAGGAGAAAACACAAGTAAACATTCTCTACAAACAATGCAATGGAATAGTCTTTTTCTCATATGCATTTTAAATTTTTAAAAGCTTGGCTTTTTCTCAAACATAAAGACTGCAAATGCAATGAATTGTCACTCAATGAAATCCAATAGACAATAAACAAACTTGAGAAGAGATTGAGGTAAGAGAGAGAGTCTCAATAACATTGAAGTAGGATTCTAAATAAAAGTAACCAAACAAAACTATGACTCTATGAGTAATTTCATCAACGCATGATAAAATGTAGGGAGAATCTTCGAAATTTACCAGAGAAGGTACCTAAAGAAGGCATTGGGAGCTCATTCAGACAAGGAGAAACTCGAAACTCTCTCTTATTCTTCGCGACACGACCAGAATAAGATTATACGAAACTATACATTAATCAGAGATTTATGTTCCGCTGCTAAAGCGTGTGGGTTTTTGCAGAGAGACAAGAAGGATAAGCCACACAAAAAAAATAGCAAAACTTCAACCAAGATACTTTTGTCTGGCTTTCACGCAGCAACCAGGAGACGGAAGATAACGAGACCCGGTTTGCTCTAATAACCCCACCCGTATGACACGTTATTGGGCTAATGGGCCGTAACTTTTCTTGAGATATCCAAACGGCGTCGTATTAGTTTGGCTGAAGGCGAATCATAAACCGCCACCTCATGTAATCTTGCACGTATCACAAATTAGTGCGCTAATGGGCCTTTACCTCTGCTGGGCCATCAAACGGCGTCGTGTAAATCATGAAATGCCACACGGAGTAATCCTGATTGTTTTATTTTCTTGGACAAACCACTTACCCGACTAAAAGGGCGTTGCATAAATCTTACTTCAAAAACGACGCCGTATGATTGACATCTTTAAGTGTGGATTAAGAAAAGCCACGTGGTATATGAACCGGGTCGGATCTTGAACAAAGTCTAGTACTACATGGGTCAGCAGTTCCGGGTTTATTCCCGGCAACGACTGCGACGCTTCACTAATGGAGAGACATTCCTCCTCTTCGTCTTCTTCATCCTCATCGCCTAACGAAGAAGACGATCTCCAAAACCTACTCGACGAAAATGACGAGATCCCTCCGTCTTCCCAGCAACCACCACCACCACCTACCTTCGACGTGGAGTCTCTCCGATCACGCTTACGACGAAACTTCAAGCTCAACCTCACAAAACGACAGTGCATTGTCATCTTCCTCCCTCTTCTCCTCGTCTTCCTTTACCTATCCACCGATCTCACAAACTACTTCTCCGTTCCAGATTCCGTTTACCGGCCGAATCATGAACCGGGTCGGACTCAAGAACCGGATCTCCAAGCTCTGTATCTCCTCAGGAAGCAAGAAACCGATCTCTCCTCTCTATGGAACCGAACTCTATCGATCTCCGACATGAAAGCTGCTGTTTTCCGACAAATCTCATTAAACAGACAGATCCAAAACGCGTTACTGTCTCCTCATAAAACCGAAAGTCTCAGTCTTTACGGTGGTTCACATTGCTCGAGAGTTGATCAGAAGTTGTCGGGGAGGAAGACGATTGAATGGAAACCGAGGGGGGATAAGTTCCTATTCGCTGTCTGTTTGTCTGGTCAGATGAGTAACCACTTGATCTGTCTTGAGAAGCATATGTTCTTCGCAGCGTTACTGAAACGAGTACTTGTGATCCCTAGTCATAGATTTGATTATCATTACAGTAGAATCATCGATATCGATAGGATCAATACTTGTGTGGGGAGGAAGGTTGTGGTTTCCTTTGAGGAGTTTTGGAAGAGCAGGAAGAAGCAACATCACCATCATGTTCATATCAATAGATTCATATGCTACTTCTCCAAACCGGAGCCGTGTTATGTAGATAAAGAGCATTTTGCAAAGCTGAAAGCGTTGGGGATTACTATCGGAGGGAAAGTGGACTCGCCGTGGGAGGAGGAAGATATCGCGAGGCCGAGTAACAAGACAGCTGAGGAAGTGGAGGCTAGTTTTAGATCTGATGAGGATGTTATTGCGATTGGTGATGTGTTTTATGCTAATGTTGAGAGAGAGTGGGTGATGCAGCCTGGTGGTCCTTTGGCTCATAAGTGCAAGACTTTGGTTGAACCGAACCGGTTGATATTGCTCACTGCGCAGAGGTTTATCCAGACTTTTCTTGGGAGGAACTATGTTGCTCTTCATTTTCGTAGGCATGGGTTCTTGCAGTTCTGGTATGGTCCAATTTTTCCACACTTTTGATTGCTCTATAGGCTGTGATGTAGTATATGTTAGCTGAAAGTGAGAACTATATGTTTGATTTTAGAGAAATTGCGTAAAATACCATTAATTGGATACCATTTTTCAATATACATTCAGTCAAAAAGTATGCTAACATTACGGTTTAGTGATTATTGTTTAGGTTTAGTACCACAATCAAGGTTAGTTTAGTATTTTCAGGTATTTATGAAAATGATCATCTTTAAAATTAGATTTGAAAAATGGTATCAATTTATGGTAAAATTAAAATCTCCTCTTGATTTCACTCCTCTAAGTTTCCTGGTAGTGTGGTCAGAAGTTGCTGAATGTTAGATAAGAATCAGGAACCTTGCTAAGTAATTTTCTTCTTGTGTTCAGTAATGCCAAGAATCCAAGTTGCTTTTACCCCATTCCTCAAGCTGCTCACTGTATCACTCGTCTGGTTGAGAAGGTCGACGCACCGGTTATCTACCTCTCTACCGATGCAGCTGGAAGCGAAACTGGTCTGCTACAATCACTGTTGATCATAAATGGAAAGACTGTTCCACTCGTGAAGCGACCACCTCGTGACTCAGCTGAGAAATGGGATGCATTGTTGTACAGACATGGTCTTGAAGGCGACTCACAAGTAACATCTCCAGTCCTCTCTTACCTTCTTCATATTTGAGGATTTGAATGAATAGAATCATAACTTTGATTTTCCCACTTTTTTTTAAAGGTGGAAGCAATGTTGGACAAGACTATATGTGCAATGTCAAGCGTGTTTATTGGTGCCTCAGGTTCTACTTTTACAGAGGATATCCTTAGGCTCAGAAAAGACTGGGGAACTGCTTCGGTTTGCGATGAGTATCTCTGTCAAAACGAGCAGCCTAATTTTATAGCCGATCATGAATAGATTAGGAACACAATCTCACTTCTTTTTGTGAGTTCTCATCATCATATACAAACAGTCTAATTCTGTTGTTTTTGTGGTTTGTTGTGCATAGTTTATTAGTGTATTAAACAATAAAGCCACACTACCATTGCTGGTATGATGCCATCTGATACAGTTCCTTCTAATATAATTTGAGTCTCAGTGATGTGTGAATTTCTATCACTTGTCCAAATGGCTATGCTTTAAAATTAAGCACTAACCATTTGTTTATTTGCTTAATGTGTCATTATCATATCAATTCTTAGGTCAGGGCGTTCGAGCTCAGCTTTTTAGGTCCTACTTGAATTTTATATATGTTTGGATCGAATTGATAACAATATTTCGGATTCAGGTGGATTTTGTAACTTTTGTAAGATCTATATAGGATATACTAGTAATACTTTCGGGTTAGATTGTTTTTTTTTCTGATATTCGAAGAATTTATTTAAGTTACAAATTTGAATTTTTATGGCAGGTTTTTCGAGTTTTTTTTTTTACTTTTCATTTTTTGGTACATGTTTGAATTTAAGGTTTGATCGGATTGAGATAATGTCCGAACCCTAAAATATCATCTCACAAAATGCTTTCAAGTAATTTACAATTTGGTTCAGATATAAATTCCAGGATTTACGGTTTTTTTTTTTTTTTGAAACACATTTTAAAATTACGGTTTATTGTATTACATACATCCTTTTATGTTTCTGTATGTATATATATATATATACATTTTGTCCATTTATGAGGATAGTGTGTATAGATATGCCAAGAGACGCGCCGCCGCTTCTTCGCCTTTCCTCGTGAAGTACTAGTCTTTGCTTTGTCGGTCGATAATAAAACCTTAAAAGTTTCGACCTTTTCTTACAATATACAAAACCCACGTCGTGTAAAGCAATACCCACATGACAGATTGACAAAAACCCTTAACTAAAGATCAGACCTTTTTTCCGCTTGTTCTCTTATTCTCCTTTTGACTCGCTTTGAAGTGTGTTGATCATCATGAGAGCGAGATTGGTTGTTTTCCCGATTAAAGGGAGGAAGTGGTGTTTCAGCAGATCCGTTGACCCTTTCGCTGCTCAATCGCCCTCCGGTGTTACTCCGACCACTCTACGAGGTTTATGGAAGAAGATTTCATCTGAATCTAAACCCTTAAATGCCAACGCTGAGCTTCTTGTCGATTTCATCTCTGACAAGGTATATACAGTTTCGAAGTTTCCTCCTTTATATAAAAAGTGGACTTACCCGTGTGTTGTTTATGTGGCGGCTAGTGAGGTTTTTAGCTGTCTATTAGTGTAGATAAAGTTTGTGACCAATAAGCTTTTGTTTTGTTTCTGATTGATAAAATGGTCTTTTTATGAGTTGTTGTTGTTGTTGTAATGGTTTTAGATGAATAAAGCTTGGATGGGTCTTGAGATAGCACCTGAAGGTTCAATGAAGAACAAGATTCATGGGTTTGTAAAGTCTCAACCTTTTTTGTTTTTGAGACATTTCTTGAGGCTTTGGCTTTTGTTTTATGTTTTAATAGGCTTAATGATATAACTTGTGGTCTCTGGGGTTGGGTGTATAGGTTAGGGTTGAAGCTTCTGGCTCGTGTTAAGCCGTCTGAGATTTTCTTGAAGTCTATATCTAAGGAGGTCACTTCCGTACAAGTCTCTTGTCCTCCAAGGTTCTTTAACTCTCTTTTACTCTTCTTGAGTTCTTGTAGTATGTTGGACTGGTTACGGTTTTACGCTAATCTATATCAAATGTTCCAGTTTAGATCCTAGACTTGTACGCAGAAGACTACGCCACATTGCTATGAGGTAACTTGTTTTGTCTCTTGAGTTATTATGGGTTGAGAGTCTCTGTTTCTTCTGACATGAATGTTTGTAACTTTGATCTCTCTGTAGTGGAACAATCCTGCACAAGAAGTACCTAATTGGTTCAGTAACTTTGCTTCCATTGACCACTGCATTTACGGTATGGACATTAAAACCTTAGCAACTCGGTTTTGTTTTTTTACGAAGTCTCTGTGTAACCAACAAAGTCTTTGTTGTTTTGTTCCATTTAGGTATTGCCATTACCAAACATACCATTCTTCTGGGTCTTATTCCGCACATATTCCCACTGGCGAGCTCTTCAGGTCTGTGATGTCTACTTTGACATAGTTTCATTATCATAAAGGGTTTTATATAAACTCAAAATCGCCGTTGCAGGGAAGTGAGAAGCTGCTTAAGCTCCTCTCAGATCATTCAAATCCCCAAACTCCAATGCCAAACCAAACTGATGATGCAGATGAAAGCGCTAACAAGAACAACAAATCGGAACAAGAGGCTCAATCTCCCACATGTGTAAGCTGTTAATACTTGACAAAACAACTCAAATGGTTTCTTCGTGTTTCTTATTTTGTCTCTGTTTCTCATGATACAGGTTTTGTTGCCGTCAGAAGAGTTATACAAGCTACTTCGTGAAGCTAGCGAGGAAGGGCTTGATGAGGAGACCATAGTAGAGATTTGCAAACTGTTCCATCTCAATAAGATCGATGTTCTTAAATATCGCAATCTAGTCTAACACTCGTTTTGTCACATTTTCTTGGAACAATTGTTTTAGATGTTTGGGAACTAACTTTACCCTCCAATTATTTCTCCGTGTTTTGATTCGTTTTAACTTTTGAAAAGATCTTTGGTTACCCGGAAGCAGCTGAATTTTCATTTTTGTACACTACAAAAAAGGAACAAATAAACATAACAATAAGCTTGTTACTAGATTTTGAGCGCGAAAATTTTTTTATGATTAAAAATTTATATAATTGAGTTTTATATTAATTTAAAGAATGTTTTAGGATAAAATCAGTTCACCAAAATTTGTTGTGATGATTGTTATTCAGTAGTTCTTAGTTTCAGTTTTTATTTTTAGATTTTGGTTTTTGGTTTTTAGTTTTTAAGTTTCTATTTTTGATTTTCAGCTTTTGATTTGGGTTTTTAATTTTTAGACCCGCTGAGTTAGTTTGAACTGAAATTACTAACAAACAAATCCCAAATAATCAAACATCTAATTTAAAACTGAAAAGATGACAAAAATTTTTTTAAAGAAATTTGCAATAGTTTATTTTGTAAATAAATAAAAGCAAAAAAGATAACCTGTTTTCATTTTTGGTTTTGGATTTTAGTTTTTATATTTGGTTTTTGGTTTTGCTTTACATTTTTTTTTAAAAATCAGTAAATTATTTAAAAGAAATAAAACAATAAATTATTTAAAAGTTACCATTGAAATTTATCAAAACAAAGTGATTGTTATTTAAAAAAAAAAAAAAATTAACATGTTTTAAAGTACATGATTTAAATAAGTGATTAATAATAGACAATTTCTTTAAAAATATTAAATACCCTTTGGACTTGAAAATAATAACTGATTTTTTTATCCATTAAAATGGAAAATTAATTCAATGTTTTGGAGTTTTTCCTTAATACCAAGCCCAAAAACCAAACCATATAATTTGTTCTAAAAACAAAAGTAAGCCCAACACTATATCCTATAAATAATCATCGGTTTAATTTAATTAACACGGTTTAATTAACTATATGACTTGTATTATTTGTAACACTCTAGAAAGAGTCCAAATTTAAATGACAACTTGTATCAGTAGATAAAAAGAATGACTCTATTTTAATAGATTAGATTCTCTCAAATTACAAGAACATAAAAAAGGAAAGAACGACAGAAATTTAATCTTTCATAAAATTTGCCATTTCGGATCGGGATCGGAGATAACACATCGGTTTTGGTTTGGGTTTGGATTATACTGAAGTTACCGAATATCATTTGGGTTCAGGTTTTAGTGTGATAGGTTTCGGATTAACTAAAATAAAATTAAAAAAAAAAAACAAATAAACATAAGACACTTAAATTAAATTTATGAATTACAGTTGTTCGGATTTGATTTATTGATACTCGTTTTTATGGCGCCAACGAAGTAAAAACAAGATTTGAAGATTTATAAATATGTAGAAATTAATGAAATTGTCGTGTCTTCTATGTTATTAAATGATAACATTAGACAAATGTTTACAAATTGATCACAATGATAAATTAAATATGAAAACTCACATAATATATAATCATAGCAAAACAAACTTTGTTAAGTAAGATGAAATGATAAGAACTAAGAAACATGTCTCTCAATCTTTGGAAATAACAAAATCTGTCTTGGAGATTGTTGACTTCATGTAATACATATATATACTTATCTACATAAATACACACTTCGGTTATTTCAGATTCTAATTTAGGTTTCAGAATAAACCGAGCCCATACGATAACCAAAGTATCACAATATCAAAACTGATTGGATATTTTGATTGATCTATAACTGGTCGGATTTGGGTATTTCAGTTCGGGTTCGGATTCGGTTCTAGATTATAGATAATATGCCCAGGCCAATCATTGATTATGTAAAATAATTTCTGTAAAATATATAAGTTTCGGTCCGCGGATGGTTCGCGAGTTCCGGCCCATTTTAGTCTCATATCGATACAATGGGCCCATATTTAAGCCCACTATATACACAGTAGAAGAGCTCTGCTCTTTTTCTTTTCGTTTTCTTTGTCACAAAAAAAAAAAGCTTTCCTCTTGGGCAAGACAAGTTTGGCTATAATACTCAAATCGCATTTCTCTCTGAAATCTGCGAGCGAAGAAGATGACGAGAGACATTGAAGATGAGATCAGAGACGAGAAGAATCCTCGCCCCCTCGACGAAGATGATATCGCTCTCCTCAAGACTTACGTAAGCTCTACTAACTTCGATTGCGGATTCGAATAGTCTCGATTACGGATCTGCTGTAGCTTTTAGGTTTCGGAAGAGTTCATGGTAGTTTAAGATTTGTTGTTAGCTTATGGTTTATCGATTTTCTAGGTTCGTCTCGTTGGAAACTAGTTTAATGGATTCGTTCTTTATGCTTACGAATTAGCTCACGATCCTGACGTACACGTGTAGTTTGGATTCTCAGTGTTTATTTTACTGATAATTGATGAATATTGATAGGGGTTAGGGCCTTACTCTGCACCTATAAAGAGAGTTGAGAAAGAAATCAAGGACCTCGCCAAGAAGATCAACGATCTCTGTGGTATGTCTTAACACATTCTTTCTCGTTTAAAGCGTTTGGCTTACTTTGATAGTGCTTAGTATGAGTAAAAGGATAAGCCTTGATGAGCTTTCGTTGCAGGTATCAAGGAGTCTGATACTGGTTTAGCTCCTCCCAGTCAATGGGATCTCGTTTCTGACAAACAGATGATGCAAGAAGAGCAACCTCTTCAGGTAACCTTTCTTTCTTAGCAATTTACTTCTCTCTCTATTATGCTTCTTTAACCGGTGACTTTTAATTACTCTCCAGGTTGCTAGATGCACAAAGATCATTAGTCCAAACACTGAAGACGCCAAGTACGTCATTAATGTCAAACAGATTGCTAAGGTACATTCACTTCCATTTCCAAGGATGATCTGCATAACCAGTTTTATGTAGACTTAACTGGTTTTGTTTTGATCCATGATTGTAGTTTGTCGTTGGTCTTGGCGATAGAGTTTCTCCTACTGATATTGAAGAAGGCATGCGAGTTGGGTATGTGAACTGATATTCTCTCTGGTTTTATTATCAGTTCCTTCTGTTTTCTATCATATGGTTGATAACTTACAAAAAATAAAATTAACGCTTTTGATTTGTATTTGCAGAGTTGATAGGAATAAGTATCAAATTCAGATTCCTCTACCTCCAAAGATCGATCCTAGTGTCACCATGATGACTGTCGAAGAGAAACCTGATGTTACTTACAATGATGTTGGTGGCTGCAAGGAGCAGATTGAGAAGATGCGAGAGGTATGTTGAACTTCGTTACGATCATGTGTCCTTATCTTCTTTCGTTAATGAGCTTATTGTTGTGGTATGTTTTTTTATGAAAAGAGAAAATGTTAAGAGTTTTGTTGTCTCCGTTGATTGTAGGTCGTTGAACTGCCAATGCTTCACCCAGAAAAGTTTGTGAAGCTTGGAATAGATCCTCCCAAGGGAGTTCTCTGCTATGGTCCTCCTGGTACCGGTAAAACCCTTTTGGCTAGAGCTGTTGCCAACAGAACCGATGCTTGCTTTATCAGAGTTATCGGCAGTGAGCTTGTTCAAAAGTATGTCGGTGAAGGAGCTAGGATGGTTCGTGAACTGTTTCAGGTAATTAATTGTCAACATTACTTCTTGCCCTCTGAGTTTTTTTTTTTCTGCAACGTTAATTAGAATACTCGCTTTGCAGATGGCACGGTCCAAAAAAGCTTGCATTGTGTTCTTTGACGAAGTGGATGCCATTGGTGGTGCAAGATTTGACGATGGTGTAGGAGGTGATAACGAAGTCCAGCGTACTATGCTTGAGATTGTGAATCAGCTTGATGGGTTTGATGCACGTGGTAACATCAAGGTTCTTATGGCAACGAACAGGTCAGTACACAATCTCATCACCAGTATTAAGTAAACTACACAATTTTACTGTTGACTCATTGGTTATTTCTGTATGTGCTCCAGGCCTGACACGCTGGACCCTGCTCTTTTACGTCCTGGACGTCTTGACCGTAAGGTGGAGTTTGGTTTGCCTGATCTGGAGAGCAGAACACAGATCTTTAAGATTCATACAAGAACCATGAACTGCGAGAGAGACATCCGTTTTGAACTCCTTGCTCGCCTCTGTCCAAACTCAACCGGTAAATAACCAGTAAACATTTGTGGTATACACTCTTTTCTTTTGGTTTCTGATTTGTGGTTTTGTGAATCTTTCTTCTTCTTGCAGGAGCTGATATCAGGAGTGTGTGCACTGAAGCTGGAATGTATGCAATCAGAGCTAGGAGAAAGACAGTGACTGAGAAAGACTTTTTGGATGCAGTGAACAAAGTCATCAAAGGTTATCAGAAGTTCAGTGCAACTCCCAAGTATATGGTCTACAACTAGTGAGATCGAGAGTGAGAGAACTCTAACATTGTTTGTTTGTCTTTTTCTTTCTGTTTTGCAAGAATCGTTTTGTTTAATCCAGTTATGTCTGATACTTTCTTACTTCATAAATGTTTTACTTTTTTATCAAAGTCAATCATCATCATTCACAAGAATTTAACCAAACCCAATCGAAATCAATGTAAAAGGGAAACAGCTCTGTATGTTACTGTCTTTGTGACTTCATACAACAGACTCAAGTGTTCCTTTCTTCTCTTCGACCATGAGTTTACATGTAATCATTTGTTGCGTCGGCACTACCAGCACGTTTGGAAGTTCTCTTGCTCATGTTAGCTCTCTGCACTAACACAACCAATGCCTGCACAACTTCAGACATTGGTGGTCTGAACTCCGGTTCCGCCTATTACAAACACCAAACCCTAAAATCTGTTAAAATCAAAGATTCTTGATTTGCAAGTTACTAATAATAAATAGTCATTATGTTTACCTGAACGCAGAGAGCAATAACATCTGCAAACCGAGAAAGAGATTTAACAGGATAAAGCCCTTCAAGAGCTGGATCAACCATCTTGCCTAAAGCATCAATATCATGAAGCTGTGGTGTCGCCCATCTAACCAATGACTGCTCTGATCTTGGCCTTGTACTGCTCAAAGTTATAAAATTCAGAAAACACATTCCTCATCTCTAAACCAAGTCTAGCAATGATCATTTTTTACCTGTCAAATGGTTTTCTCCCTGTTAAAAGTTCAAGCATCACTACTCCAAAACTGTAT